GGCTTTTCTGACAATTTAATAGCACCCCCTCCGGCCATAGAGGTCTTTCTTTTTGGCCAGCTCCCCGGAATCGGCATGTCTTCTCCATGAGAGGGAGTGCCAGTGTCCCAAACAGCACGGCAAACTGCTTCAAAACAAGTAGTCTTTATTGTGCCGTTACAATTCCCCCCTGTCCTTCCTTAGACTCTGCTCGGTCCCTCCCGGTCATACCCCTTCTCTGCTCCCTCGTTCTCCGAGCCTCGGTCTTCCTCGGGCGGTCGCCCGTGCTCTCACAGTTGCAGAACTATAGTATAACCTGGATCATGGGGAATAGGCCTTGTGCTTATGAAACTTTACATCAATGCCTGCTTATCCCGAGCCCCCAAAAGTATTCCCCCAGCAGAGCTGTGCGCTAGACTGTGGCCCACTTCGCCTCCTTTTGTCGCCAGGAGTAGTCTGGGTTATTTTTGCTGCTGTATGTCAGGGCAAGGCCCAAATACAGAAGCCTCTTGACTATAGGACCTGCTCTTCCATGTTGGACTCCCTGCTCCATTGCTAGATACTAGTGTGAATTTTTTTTTTCCTGATCGGAGAACCCTACAAGACCCCCATGCCTTGTGTTGGCCGTCTAGGAAGAGTTTTATGAAGGACTTACGGAAAGAGAAACACCTTGGCTTTCTCTTTGACATGGCTCTGAAGACCCATGCTACGTCTGTGTCTTGAAACTAAACACTTGCGCATATGTGGCTGCATCTTCTGATGCACCTGATGAAGAAATGTAATGAAGATCAGCCATTAACAATAAGACAAGCCAAGGACTTACCCTCTCTCCCCCCTTCTCATTACCAGGGTGAATACACTTGACCAAATGATTTCCTCCCCCCCCCCCCCCCAAGCTTTCCTGATTTGCTTGAACTTTTAGTGCTTCTAGTGTTCCTGGCTAGGGGGTCTTGCCCCTCCACTCGTGCTCAGACTGGCCAGGTTGGGGTCAGGCAGGAATTTTACCCTGTGGTCAGATTTGGTATGGACTGGGGGGAGGGGGGCTTCCTCCGTAGTGGGGTGCAGATCCCTCTTCCGTGGATCTCTCGGGAGTATTTTTAACGACCCTTGTAGCAGCAGGATATTGGCCGCTGTTGTCTTCCAGCTTTCCTTGTGGCAGGTCCGGGTGTTATGTCTCACGATTGTCAGGGTTGTCTGACTACTTCTTGCTACTAGGTTGGACGGTGAAATTGTACAGGGCGGTTTGGGTAGGGATGATCCTGCCTCTGCCGGGGGTTGGACTAGATGACTTCTGAAGGTCTTTACCAGCACCAGGTCCTATGATTGTGGAGCAGATTGACTGCTTGCATGACCTCTCTGGATTACAAGGCTCATTCTAGACTGACTCTTTTTTCCCCAGAAACTTGCAGGTGATCTCTTTTCCGGCTCATCCTGCATCCATCTATATACCAGCCAGGACAGTAGACCAGATGTCACCATCACCCAAGTACTACTGTCCTTATCCTACACTTCTTGTACAGACAGCTGCTTACGAGGGCCAAATGGAGAACTGCAGCTGCCTGCAGAAAGGGGCAAAGTCATTGCTTTTACTTGTCCTGTTGCTTATTAGCAGCGCTGTATTTGCATACTGCAAATTACTGGGAAATAAAAAATGGTTCTACTTTGCAAAGAAAGCTTTGAGGGGGGCACCTGCCTGGCCTGTGAGGCTTTGAATCTACTGTGGCAACAGGACACCATATCATGGAAAATTTAAGGTCAGAAGAGACCTAGCCCAACCGCCTGCTCAAAGCAGGACCATCTCCTACTAGATCATCCCAGCCAAGGCTTTGTCGAGCCAGGTCTTAAACACCTGCAAGGAGAGATGCCACCACCTCTCTGGGTAACCTGTTCCAGTGTTTTACTGCCCTCCAAGTGAGAAAATGCTTCCTAATAGCGAACCTAAACTTCCCTGGCTGCAACTTGAGACCCTTGCTCCTTGAGACACTAAACATATCACTACTATTATATGGGAGACGAGGATCTTTCTTAAACTTAAACTTTCTTTAAACTTCAACAAGCTTTTGAATGCAATGAATTCCTGAAGAAGGATGCACTGCTTTTGGAAGCTTCAGTCTATCCCAGTCATGCAGGTGTCCACCTTAAAGATGCATCGCCTACAAGAATCCTGGTCTCCTGCATCTTTCCTGGACCATCATGACTGCAGCATTGCTCTAGCACCACTGCTACGTGTTCAGTTGCCTTAGCGCAGGCCCCCACTGCCAACAGCAGGTGCAAGAGGAGCAGCGTATCCAGATGTCAAGAACTAGCTCATTTTGAGAGTCGAAAAAGCGCAGCAGCTTGATCTCTGCTAACTTGCAAAGGTCATCAACCCTTCGCCAAGGGCTACTGTATGAAGCGGATAGAGATAAAAGAGCATTAAGGGTTTTGTAAATGTGACTGGCGCTATTTGCGAGTCCAGTATCCCTCTTTGATGTGATTCATCTGATTTTACGCGAAATAATGACAATTTCTTCCTCTGCCATGAACCGCACACTTTTGAAGTTTAAAGGCTGTTTTGGGGGAAACGATAAATACTGATGTGGAGCAGGAATTGCAGCTGTAAGTGTTTGCGGTAGCTTGGCATGGGCCGAACAAAAGGTACATTTTGGACTAAAACAAGCGACACCCACAGCACAGACAGCTGAAGCTGAAAAGTGGGCCCGTTAATCATTTTCTCTTTATGATGCATTTCCATGGGTGTGACCATTTTTGCATTAAGTATCTGAAGCCAAGTCCAAGCATTTGCTGAGAAGCGTTGCAAATAGCCGCGCTTCCTACGCGTCCAGCCTTGTAGCTCGACCAGCATTTGCCCAGAGAACCGGGTGAGCTCACAGAAACATCAGAAGTTCACAACCTTGTCTTTATACAAAGTTCACTTGCCTTCCTACTTAACCTTCTTCTAATGCGACTTTTTTTTTTTTTTTCTTTTTAACATCCAGTGCTCCCGGCAAGAGGAACCATACTAGTCCAAACCAGCTTTGATGCACAAATGCTACTTAATAGGTTTGGTGGTGGCAGTAGTAACAGTTCACATCAAAAGCTTTTCGGTTGCCTTTAGCTCGCACAGCAAAGCGATTGTTTTCAAGGATGGGATGTGGACTACACAATAAGCAATATTGAACTTGATGTTAATAGTTCCTTTCAGTGTTTACGGTCTAGCGGCGGTTACAGCTGCATACTATAATTTACTCTAAACAGCGTGCTCGCTGATTGATGAGTCCTGTCTGGTACTTGATCTCCGAGGACTATATAAATAAAGCAAAGCAGCCTAGTCCTGTTAGGGGCCCTAACCCTTAAGCACTTCTAATATATAATACCACTTCTCATTAAAGAGAATTCACCACTTTTATTGTATCCGTTTCAATGGTATGGTGCGGCCCAGAGGGAAAAGATCGGCGGGTAATCGTGAAGCCTCAATAACAATGAAAGCTTAAGCATCGCTATTAAGTGTTGTAGCCCAGGAATTGGAGCAAAAAACAGCCCTGTCCTTTTTGCCGTGGCTCAAGCTAGTGATGTGCTGAAGGTAAATATTCAAGGGCAGATCTTCACCGGAGATACCGTCACTCACGCTCGCAAAGTGAATGATTTTGACAGCTCCCATGTGCGTAGGATCTACCCTGTAAGCGATGAAAATTGCTGTCTGTATTAATCCTCTCCCTGGCCACCATTATAGAGCGATGCTACATTTTGAGCTGCGTAGGTACATCTAAGCTGTCAGGTTGAATGTCCCCTATGGCTCTGCTTAAAGGGGCCCCCAAACATTTCAGTCTGGTTGCACTTCCTACACTTGTTGCTACGTTGAACTTGGTTTCCTATAAAGGCAGGAGGCAAATTTCCCCCCCACAAGGGGAAGAGTGGCTTTGATGGCACCTAATGAGCTGCCCGCTGCGTGAAATAAATGCATACAGTTACTTCACTTGGCTAATTCCTGCTCTTA